AGTGGAGTAGCTAACCAATCCAACTCAATCACGGTTTCATATCTTTCATAGTCTCATAATAACCTTTCCTTCGAAGGCTGGTACAAATAGGACGTTTAGTCTCTTACCGTTTATCAATTTTCTCATTGAAACGGTAACTTTAGTTAAATCTTATGAATTTGTCCATTACTGAGCATTTTATCATGAGATTATCTTTTCGTTAAAGTTTAACTTTTCATTTCTCTTAGTTTGATCTCGACTTAACATTGATACATACTTTTTGCAGAATAAAGTTTTACGATTACATAAGTCTTGTAGATACTTACCTTACATAATATCTAGCATTCACATTGTATAACATTCAAAATTCTACTATATGCACAATTTTTGTGCAACATAGAAAAGTAAGCTTGTTCGTGATATAGCCATAGAAAAACTATTGTACTTACCAAAGTTTCGCTAACAACGCGTCCTTTGTCTCCCTTGACGCTTTCCAACTTCAACCGTTAATCGGCCTTATTACACATAAATTTTTCGATCGTTAGATTCAGAATTTAAGATCAATAATTACTTTGAAATTTACTTCGGAAAGGTCTACAATCCTTATGTTTGGTATTCAATCTCAAACTATTTCCTATCTCAAGGATTTGCACTAAAATCGTGCAAATTACTCAGTCATGGGCCTATTTTCAATTTTGGTCTAAAATTGTGAATTCTCGTTGTGTTCGGTTTCTAACCATCACCGATTATCGAAACATCTTTCTTTTCACACTTTAATCCCATATTCCTCTTGAAATCCAGTTTTAGTTCAAATTACTCGAACTAAATTTTGGCAAAGTTTCGCCTTATTTTTCTCATTTCTTGAGTTTTTAATAATTCGTTTCACTTCTGATTTCGGTACCTGGAGTCAAGATTTACATTCCTGAACACAGATTCCAACATAAAATTGAACAAAACATATGTTCTTTCTTAATCTAGGCTCACGGATTTTCGATAGAAATCTACCAAAACTTTATTCAATCGTCTTAACACTTACACCGTTAAACTCTTATTACGATACTCTACAAAACCTCAGTTTCAATTTTCACTTTAACAGAAGTTTTTCTGAGATGGGTTACTATTCATCTAAATCAAGAAAATATAGAATTCTCACAAAAACTCTAAAATCTTACCTCCAGAAGTTGAGGTTTTTCCGCTAGAACGCCTCAGGTTACGTTTCTATCAGATTGAATGGAAGAAATTTCAGCGAAACTGCTTGATTTTCACAACTCTCTGTCTTTTTTTTTCTTTCTTCGTAACTTTCTCACG